CTGCTTTTGAGAAGGGACAAATGGATAGTGTAAGGGACTGCGGGGGGGGGAGCAGCCCTGCCATGTAGGGCAGTCCAGGGGAACCTGTGGCCCTCATATGTTTCTGGGTAATCCCTCACCCACTGGCCATGCTGGGATTCCAACCAAGTTTGAAAGAATATGGATTATCATATATCCCTGGTGTGGGGTCAAAGAGGCAGAGACCACCTTCCTGCCTCCATGGCAATGGCCACCTAGGCATCCCCAGGCAGGAGCCTAAGAACAACCTGCTGGATCAGGCCAATGGCCCATCTTGTCCAGCATCCTGTTCTCACAGTGGCCAACCCAGTGCCCCAAATGGAAGCTCACAAGCAGGACCCAAGCACAAGAGCCCTCTCCCCTCTTGTGGCTTCCAGATACTGGCATTCAGAAGCATTACTCTGCCTGACCGTGGAGACATAACATACCATAATAGCCTTAATAGTGCTCCTTGGGGACTCAAAGGCCAGCTCAGGCTACTTCAAATTGAATTTGAAAATTGAATTGAAATTGAAATACTTTATTGTCACTTGTACAACTTGTATACGGTGAGATTACACGAGCACCCCTCACTCAGCTCTCTTAGTCTTAATTCCCTCGTTTACTGACACACACACACACACCAAACCCGAAGGTCAGTTGCCCTGTTGTTATCTTTTCATTCAGTAGCCCACAGATAGAAGCTGTTCTTTACCCTGATGGTGCGACTAATCATGCTTCTATATCTTCTGCCTGAGGGCAGGAGATCAAGAAAGTGCCGGCCAGGGTGTGAATCATCCCTAAGAATTTTCCTCACTCTCCTGAGGCAACTTTATTTCGCTATTTCATCCAGTGGATTCACAGGACAGCCCATAATATCTTGTGCTGTATTCACCACCCTCTGTAGGCACTTCCTATCAGACGATGTCAAACCAGCATACCACACCGTGATGCAGTATGAAAGGACACTTTCTATTGTTGACCGGTAGAAGGAGATCATCAGATGTTGATTGACATTGTTCTTCCGCAAGACTCTGAGGAGATGGAGTCTCTGTTGGGCTTTCTTAACCACTTGGGTTGTATTTATTTTCCAAGTAAGGTCTTCACTGAGATAAACTCCTAGGAATTTAAAGGAAGAGACTCACTCTACACAGCCCTCCCCGATGTACAGCGGGGCTAGTTCTCCTCTCTTCCTCCGAAAGTCCAACACCATCTCCTTTGTCTTGCTGATATTAAGGTGCAAGTTGTTCCCTAGGCACCATGTAGATGTTTTTTGGACCTCCCCTCTATACACTGATTCGTCTCCCCCTGTTATTAAACCCATTATGGTGGTGTCATCTGCAAACTTAATAATTGCATTATTAAACCATTATGGTGTGTCATCTGCAAACTTAATAATTGCAGTAGACGGGTCAGACGGGTTTCCCATTGCTCATCAAGTCCAGCAGTGCCCAGGCAGGGGAGATAAAAGCCACTTCCCAACTGACCCCTTCCTAACATGGGGTAAGCAAGGAGATATGCCACCTCCAGATGTAGAGAGGGTCCTTCACCCATGCCTGCTGGTAGCCATCAATCCTCGAATTTTTCTGATCCTTTGACTAAGCTGCTGGAAGCCAGCGCCATCCTGTCTTGAGGCTATGAATCCCATAAGCTCCTTTTGCACTGTGTGCCAATCCGTATCCCTGCGCAGCTCTTGCATTTCAGCTCTTTCAAAGAGAGTGCAGCTGCACTCTTGGCTCACAGAAAGTCTCCCAACAAAGTGTTTCCGCTTTCTCTGTCACAGACTAAGCCCCAACCAGGCTGGAACTCACCAAAGATGCGGAAGGCGTAATGCGATTTGATCTCTGGCGTTGCAGAGTCGCTAAAGACGCTCAGCATGTCCAGAAAGTCCTCAAAGGACAGGCCGCCTTCCCTGTCATCCGTAGTAGAGAAGACGTGGCAAATGCGGTGGCGGAAGGGGTTTGCCTGGAAGCACAAAGAGGGGAGGGGGGACTGTAAGAAGCTTCCTCCAGTGTGTTATGCAAAGCCAGTGCAGGTGGAAAGGAACAGAAGGCTAAACCCATACCAGCAAACTGGCCCTACAGATCGACCCATGGGAGGGATGGAGAAATGTGTTGGACCCTCCAAGTGACGCTGGATGCCCCCTGCCCCAGTGATCATCTCCAGCCTACACAACCAATTATCAGAGATTAGATTTATTTGCAATACTTATATCCCCACTTTCATTATAAATGATTTCAGGACAGGTCCCAACAGTAAAAACTACATAAATCCAGTCAAAAATTCGGACAAAAATCTGCAGCTTACAGTATAGTACAAAGATCACTCTCCTCGTGCTCCCTCTTCACTATACAGGCCTAAATTCAAAAGACCTAGAGGAAGGCACCAGCTTACTGGAGGATGTGATTGTTCCACAACCAGGGTGCCACCACCGAGAAAGCCCTATCCTGAGTCCCAGCACCCAGGACCTTGTTTGGTGATGGTACCCCAAGATGGCCATCCTGGCAGATCTCAAATCACAGGCTGGACAATACAGGGAGGGAGAAGACTGCCTTCAGAGGTGGGCTCTGGGCCCTTTAGGGCTCTACATATCAAAACAAAACAATGAGTTGGGCTCACTAGCAAATAGATGGGATGTACAGCTCAGCCACAGCTCTTGGATGCACCCAGCTGCAGTCTTCTGTATGGGTCACAGAACAATAAACATGTATCCTGTACAGACCTTGCCCAGGGCCTCTCCTGAGAGGCAAACAGTGTTCCCCTCCCCTCCCCTCCCAGCATACCCGCAGTTCAGGCAGCATCAAAATCTTGCTCTTGGGAATCCTTGTGGTGAAAGCCTGATCCCGGTCCTCCTTGGGCAGCAGTTCACTGAATCGCTTGTGGGCCCTGGAAGAGAAGACAGCGGGCAATGCCAGCCAAGTTCCTTCCTCCCTGGATGGATGCCCTGCCCAGCTGGCACCAGCTTTCCATCAGCCCTGCAGCACCAGCTCCTCCTCTCTTTGGTGGGGGTGGGGGGGAGGGTGTTTTCCCTGTGCTGCACTATGCCTGGCAGTGCCTCCCCATCCCACTTATCTACCCACACTCAGCTTGGGGAATTCCCACTGTCATCACCACATCCCTCCAGGTGAAGCTGCAGGTGCCTCTGAACCCTTGAGCAAAGTCCGCCTGTCAACCCAGGGCTGAGGCCAGGGTGAGGGGACTGGACCTTGGCATTCCCAGGGGAGAGGGAGGGCCACGGCAGCTCAGTGATGGGACACCCAGTTCAACCCCTGCTGGTATCTCCAGCCCCTCCCTGTGCCAGTAGAAATGGCTTGGCTACCTTAAAAATCATAGAACTGCAGAGCAGAGCGGAAAGGGACAACAAGGGTCATCTACTCCAACCCCCTGCAATGCTCTTGGGAGTCAGGCAAGCTTGCTCAGCAATGGCAGGGTCGTTGGGAAGCCTGTCTCCCCACTGCTCACACCCAGGCACCCTAGAAAGCGCCTCACGAAGGAGGGGGGGATATACTCACAGCAGGATCTCTTGCTGGTCAAGAAAGGTCAGCTCCTAGGAAAGCGAGAGGGGGCGGAAAGGAGGGAGAGAGGTTAGTCTGCTGGAGAAGAGGGAGGGGTGGAGGGGTCCCATCATGCCCCCCTCACCAGTCTGCCCCGCGGCCTGGGGCTGCCCCTCCAGATGTGGCTGGACTCATCCAGAAGCCTGCACCATCTATGGCAACAGGGATGAGCTGGAGTCCCGCCACATCTGGGAGGGAAGCCCGGGGGGGGGAGCTGAACGCCCACACACAACTTCTGCTCCTCAGCTCCACCCCCACCCCCGCCAGCGAGAAAGGTAGAGAGCCCAGCGAAGACGTCCATAGTTCCCCCCCCCCCCTCGGCGAAGGCAGCCCAGCGAGCTGCACAGCGAAGGGACGAGGCGGGAGTGGGGTACTGGTATTCCCCAGGAGGTCTCGGGGTAGGCGGCTGCCGGAGGCCCCCATGGCGACGACGGTACAACTTGAGGCAAACTCCGGGAACTTCCTTGTCTCCTCCTCCTCCCCCACTCCCCTCGACGGGACGTCCACTGTCGCCAAGGCAACCACTCCGTAGCCCCGCCCATTCCGAAAGGAGGCAGGCGGAGCCCGGCATGGCCCGTTGCGGGGGGTGGGGTGTCCCGGGATTCGTCGCTGCTGGGAGACTCCGAGGCATCCCCTCCTCCGCTCGCCGGCCGGCAGTTAGAACAGGAATGAATGGAGGCCCCCTCTCCCACGTTCCCTGCACCAGATAAGCTCCGGCGGTCGGAGCCGTCGAGGGAGAAATCAGCAGCGATGGCATCCCGCGCTGTGGCCAAAGCCGGTGATGGGCTTCCTTCCCCAGATTAGTCGACGCTGCTGCCAGTCCGCCCGACGACCGCGACTAAGGAAGCGCCGCCCGGGACGCGGCCACGTGGCCCACCCGGCAGTCCGACGTGAGCAGCACAGCGGCGGCAGGTGAGGAAGAAGAGAGAGGGATCCGGCCGGACTTCGTCTACGGGGCCCCAGGAGAGGTAGGAGGCTAGGAGCGGGCCGGGCTGTGCTGCTTGTGGAGCAGCGGGGAGGCTGCAGTGTGTGCGCTGGGCGGCGTCCCCGCCTGGCAATGCTGCTGCGGATCCCCCAGACGGCAGCCCTCTGGACGCAAGCCGGAGCACGCCGGGCTTTTTTCGCCAACAGAGGCTGGGGCTGGCGAGCCCCCCGTGCGTTAAGGAGCCCGAGGGGGACGCCCATGGTCGAGGAGTGGAGGGCACCCACTGGCGCTGCTCGGACTCACAGCATGAGGAGCTCCCCCCAATTCTTTTGCTTTCAGGAAAGGTACAGCCCAGCAGGGCCACAGAGCAGCAATGGGATGGGGAGTTTCATTCTTCACACTGACCCAGTAAGCATAACTGTCAACTTTTCCCTTTTCTTGCGAGGAATCCTATTTGGAATAAGGGAATTTCCCTTAAAAAAAAGGGAAACGTTGACAGCTATGCCCAGTAAGTCTGGCTTTGCCATTCTGGTGCCTCCATTTGTTTTGACTACAACTCCCATCAGCCCCCAAACATCAGGAGGGTACCAGGTTGGCGTTTGCAAAGGAAGAGCTGGTGTGCCCAGCCTCAGACTCCTCTTCCACATATGTTTGGCCTCCCAGTCCAGAGCTGAGTTACCCAGCCGAACTGCAGGCACTGAAAGCAACCAAGAACAGCTCTCTGGGGGCTTCATTGTGGCTCTCTCTAATGCGGGCTCTTCCGTCTTTCTTAGTTCTATTTCAGAGTAGCAGAGGAGCCTCTGGTTGCCTCCACCCTAACCATGGAGCTTGGCCCACCAGCCATGAACCTCGGAGACCCCAGTCTCAGAAGGGCTCCAATCTCTCCCCTGCAGAGGTTTTTGCCTATGACGAGAGGGACTTTGTGCTGAGTGGAGTAGAGTGGCAGGAAAACATGAGGGAATCGTGGACCCCCTGGCCACACCATGTCCCGCTTTGACAGAGTTCTTCAGTCAGGCTGGAAGGACAGACAGAACCGGGGACTCTTCCGCTACTACTTGGAGGAGCTGCAGACTCGGATCCTGCCAGGGATGGTAGGATTTGTGGCCCAGCTGAACATCCAAAGGGGGTCAGAGAGAAGGAGACCCCAGGAGATCCAAAGCATCCAGCAGAGATTTGACCCCCAGCAGTTCAACTTCAGCAAGATCCGGCCTGAGGAGATTCTCTTTGGCATGTCCAGGGGCCAGACTTCCTCCAGGCCCTGCTTGGTAGGTGCTCAGATTCCGCCTGGCTCTGCCTTTGTCCTTGTAGTGATCAATATCAGCCCTTTGGAGTTTGGGCACATCCTTCTCATCCCTGATCCCACACTCTCATTGCCACAGATCCTCACCCCACAGGTCGTCTGCTTTGGCCTGGATGCTGTCCTCCTCAGTGGCCACCCTGGCTTCCGTGTGGGTTTCAACAGCCTTGGGGCCTTTGCCTCGGTCAACCACTTGCACCTGCATGGCTTTTACTTGAACTGGGAGCTGCTGGTTGAATCAGCCCCCTGTGAGCCTCTCCTGCCCGAAGCAAACTTCTATCTGCTGCAGGAGGTCCCAGTTCCCTGCTTCGTCTTCTATAGTGAAGGGCAGCAGTTAGAGAAGCTGGCAGAGCGTGTTTGCCAGGTCACCAACTATCTGGTAAAGAAGGAGATCGCTCACAACCTCTTCATAACCAGGGGTGCTAAACCAGAGGGGCCCGTCCACTCAGGAGCCCGACCTGGAATCCGGATCATAGTCTGGGCCAGGAAATCCTGTTTTGGTACCAAAGAAGAGTCTGCGTTCAATGTGGCTCTCTGCGAGCTGGCAGGGCACCTGCCCATCAAAACTGCCCATGATTTTGAGAGTCTCACAGAAGCACTGGCCATTCGCACCCTTCAGAAATGTCTCCTCCCAGACTCTCTGTTTTCCCAGCTCCAGTGTGAGCTGGTGGCCCTCCTCAAAGAGTGATGTCACAGGGATGGTTGTGCTTCTGGAAATTCTGCTAATGTGTGCCTGTTCAGTAAGGAGGGGAGAGAGACCTCGTTTACCCACAAATGCCATGGTAGGAGGACATGCAAAATTGCTGGTCAATAAAGCATAAATTCAACTGAATTCCCGCCTTTGTTCTTTTGACTCACAAGCTGTAACACAATATTTGCTTTCCTTAAAGCGCTTACACGGAATCAGACCATTTAGCTCAGTATTGTCCACCCCAGGAGTTGCCAACATAGCCAATTAAGGGAATCATAGTCCACATCTAGGTGGGCACCATGCTCGTTACCCCGATCTACAATGTCAGGTGTGAGCTCTCTTAAGGCATCAGGTAGGAATCTTTCCCAGCCCCACTGGGAGATGCTGCCTGGACTTGGACTACTGCTCTGCACTGTTTGAGTGCTAAACTGAATATGTGTGATCCCTAAGCATTCCCAGTTAGAGCCCCTGTCAGTGTAGACAATACTGAGCCAGATGGACCAAGGATCTAGTTTGGCACATCCTTAATTTGACAACTTCATATATAAACAAACTGTTGCAAAAAAGTAGGGTTGTAGACAATGCCATGCTACTGAAAGCCAGCGTGGGATAAGCATGAGCCTTGGGCACTGGTTGTAGAGATCTTGTCTTTAGAAAAATGCCCTAGTATTGCCTGAGCCACCCCTGAATAACAAGTCCTGCAGCTGTTGGTGGTATTTATTTGCTCAGTACACCTTCAATTAAGAACATAAGAACCTACTGAATCAGGCCAATGGCCCATCTAATCTAACATCCTAGCTGAACATTCACACTCCGAAGAAGTGTGCATGCACACGAAAGCTCATACCAAGAACTAACTTAGTTGGTCTTTAAGGTGCTACTGGAAGGATTTTTTTTGTTTTGACTATGGCAGACCAACACGGCTACCTATCTGTAACTGAATCCTAGCTGAACATCTGTCTGTGAGAAGCTGGCAAGTAGGATTTAATCACAAGAACAGCACAATCCTTTCTTGTTGCTTTCAGAAACTGGTAGTCAGAAGCATTGCTTCCTCCAACTGTGAAGGCAGGGAAAAGCCATCGTGGCTAGTAGCCATTAATGGTCCTTTCCGTGAAGAAGAGTTTTGGATAACTCTAAAACTTGCACACTTTGGCATGATAGAGGTGATTTCGGCTTCCTTCAGGGCCACCTTTTTATTTTACATCTATCTATTTAATGACGCTTTTTTTAAAACAAGGTCAAGTAATGTCCAGATAAACACAAGGAAAGAAGAGAGGAGAGAGGCTGCCCATTGGCTTTCTAATGCTGTCACAGGCAGCGAGGACTCTAAACCGGGATCTCCGAGACCGGATATCCGCTTCCATATTCTCTCTCTCTCTCCCCCCCCCACCGCCATGTCAGGGAAGAGACGTCCAATAGGAATGAGCAAATCCGAGAAGCGCGGCTTGATGGTCCATGTACGGTAAATCGAATCACAACGCGGGCCAACGGCGAGCGAGATCCTGCCTCACGTCACAAAGAGCGGGTCGCCAGGCGATGACGAAATGCGGAAGCGCAGTGGGAAGGAAGCGGCGCTCAGTCCTTCGAACCGCCCTTTATGGTTGTGGCGCTTCGGCCCCGCCCCTTCGTCCGCGTCCGCCCGAGGGGGCGGGGCCCGCTGTCGGCATGGTGACAGCGTCAGGGCCCGAGGCAGCCCGAGGCCCAGGCGCCGCCGCCGCCTCGGGGGAAGCCGCGGGGCCGGTAAGGAGCCGCCAGGAGGAATGAGTGGCGGTGGGGCAAAAGAGCCCGCAGCCCTGGGGTCTCCCCGGCCCGGGAAGCCTCGAAGGTGCCCCGCCGACCCCTCTCCCGCCCCCGGTGACTTCTCTCGTCCCTGCGGAAGCGGGCCGTCGAGGACCTTCCTCCTCGCAGGGTGAACCTGAGGCCGCTTTAGTGCTGTCCTACACGCCGAGGCAGTGTGTGGATGTGAACCGGTCAGACCCCAAAGCAACCCCGGCCAGCCTGGCGCCTCGGAGCCCAGAACCGCAGCCAGTACCACTAGAGGTCCTCGCAGGCCCAAACACCTGGAGGGCGGCGCCAGGCTGGCTAAGGCTGCCAAAGATGGGGTCGCTGGTACCCTGCAGATGTAGCTGGGAACAGCTCCCACTCACCCACCCCTCCTGGCTCTTGGCTTACCTGCCGCCTGCTGGCATTTGTCGAGCAACATCTAGAGGGCTACAGAAGGTCCCCTGCCCCTCCTCTCCCCAAGATCCGCTTCCCCAGAGTTTCTCTCTGTGGCACACCACCCTTCCCTGTTTGCAGACATGCAGGTCACTTGCGTATGGGTTCCTCTCCTGGAGGCTGTCTTCCCCTATCTGGTGCCCTACAGACTGTGTTATGACTTCCATAATCCCTGACCATTGACCATACTGGTTGGGGCTGATGGGAGTTGTCATCCAATACATTTTGGAGGGTGGCCAGTTGCAGAAGACTGCCTTAATGCCTTCCTTCTCTCCCCCCTCCCCCCAGGCCTTTGCAAGGAGAGCAAGCTGTGCTGAAATTGGAAGCGCAGAGTTGGCTACAGAAATATTTTAATTCTTTGGTTGTATTCTTTTGGTTTAGTTACTATCATTTACTTTTAAGATGAATATTGTAAACAACCCTGTGATCCTGACAGCTTAGAAATATAGTAAATAAACAATGAATAATATACTAGTACAGTAGTGCTCAATCCATGCTTAATATTGCTAAGGCCAGCACAAGTTTGTGCCACTCCCTGCCACACTTTGCTGTAGGGTCTGGCTGTCCAACCTCTCCAAGCTGCCCTCTCCCTGTCCCCTTCTTGTTCAGTGTCTCTGGATGTCCCAGTCTTCAGGCAGGGCACCTCCTTTGTCTTTGGCTGCTAAACTGCATAATCCAAGCCTCTCCAGTAATTTGTGGGATATGTGCTCTACTGGTAAACTGAATCAACTGCAAGTAAAATGTGGATTTAGAAATGCTTCAGTTTTAGAATCTGGAGAGTTACTGCCAGTCAGAGCAGGTATTAATATGAAAGTGGACCTGCCATTCTGATTCATTATGAGGCATTTTGGCTGGAAGTTTTAGAGGAAGGGAGGATGTCCTAGGTGGCTGAAGAGGCTTGGAAGAAACCCACAAAGATGGTGCTACCATTTTAAAATTTACCTATACCCCACATTCAGGAACATCCCTGGGCAGCTTACAAATAATTAATATTGCAGTAAAACAAAAACATTAAAATACCACAATACAAAGGAGCATTATAAAGAAGACAAGTTTGCTTTGGATTATCAGTAGCTAGTAAGAAATGTCAGAGTGGCAGGATCTGCTGCCAACGCTTTCTTCCCTGTGCTCTTTTGCAAGAGTGCCTGAGAGAATGAAGATCAATACAGATGAAAGCAGTGAGTCTGAGAATGAAACTGATGAAGACGAAGATGAGGATGATGAAGGGGGCCTTTCAGATGAGTCTGCCAATGAATGCCTTAAGAGGCTGGATGCAGAAAACAAGGACAAGCAGCGAACCCAGGGCCAAGGGCACAAAGGCACTAAGCCACCAGGGCAGAAGAGTGACCAGCCGGGTGTCTCCCTGATCGATTTGGAGGAGCAACTGGCAGAAGAATGTGAGCTGGAAGAGGCAAGGAGGAGGAAGAAGAAGAAACACAGGTAGGCCACTTCTGGGTTTCCCCCTTGGACCCCCTTGTGAATCTCTTCGGGGCAAGCTATGCAGTTTCCATTCGCACTTAGGAGTGCAGATACCGCCCCTGTTGGAACCCCTGTTCTCTACTTTGGCCCCCCAAGTCATTGTGTTCTGTGCCCCAAGGCCACAGGGGTCAAGGTCTGGTGGGTTGGCCCCATGTTTCCATAGGCATTTCCCCTCCCAGCAGCCGCTGCTTGTCAGCTCAAAGATTTGCTCTCCCCAGCCGCTGAGCCACTGTTCCATCTCAATTCCAGGCTGCTGTCCATCAACCTCGCCAGCTGCAAATATGAGAGTGGTAAGTTAGGGTTGCTTCTTGGTGGCTTCCTCCTGTACCCTGAGAGCATCATCACATGGGCCCTGGTTATTGCTTGGTCTCCTGGATTGGCTTTATGCCACTCACAGGGGAAGGAACCAACAGCAGTCAGGGTGACTCCAGGCAGCTTCTGAATTGGTTGGGAATGGGGACCTGTGAGGCACCTTCATTAGGATAGAAGTTCCCAGGGTCACTTTTGTTTTGGAGGGTTGCTTCCCCCCACCCCCCACCAGAGGGGTGACTCCTTCTGCTCAGATGGTTGCTGCACTCCCGCTGCCCCTGGCAAGATCCAGAGGGGTTCCAGTGCCTCTTGGATCCATGTGGCCCTCTTTCTTTTGCTGCAGTTAGGCGTGCTGCTCGACGCTGTGGTTTGAAAGAAGTGGGGGAGGACGAAGAGTGGACCGTTTGCTGGACTGACTGCTCAGTTTCCCTGGAGCGTGTCATGGAAATGAAGAGGTTTCAGGTAGCTGGAGCAGAGCCAGAGGGGAGGGAGCTGTGGCTGGCAGGCAGGTTGGAGTCAGGAAGGGAGGTAGCTAGTCTCTGACATGTCACAGCACTTTTGATCTCTTATGCTGCCTCAGGCAGTTCTGGGACTTGAGTGGCTTGTGCTCCTCTGCTGGGGGAAGCCCCTGGTGTCAATCAACACATTTGTCCATGGGCATAGCCAGGATGTTCGTCAGTGGGAGCAGAACTTCAGTTGGCTATTGGTTTTTATTTATTTGGGGGGGGGGGCTGCCCATGCATCTGTCTGATTAAGCCTTGGCTCTTCCATGGCTTTGCCACTACCAGGAGGGCATTCCTGTGTGCACTCCACTGCCTTGCTCTGATCCAAATTATCACAAGGAGAGGGTGATGGGCAAGGTCTGGCTGCAACCCCTCCTAGACAGACTCTGCTTAGCCACAAATTAGACTACCAATGGCAAAGCATTGTTAGATGGGCTCTCTTTACTTGGAACCTTTGCTTGGTGCAGAATACAGCAGCTAGATTGTCGACACTTATGTTGTGAACTGCCCTGAAATTTTCAGATGGAAGGAGGCATATAGATTTAATAAATACATAAAAATAAACCAACCACTTGCAAAATACCCTGCCATCTGCATCTGCTGCACTGGTTCCTGTTTATTTCTTAGTTCAAT